GCACACCCCACTCTGCTTGTTATAAAGAGCATCTCACAAGAGCTTAAGCAAAATGAAACAGCCTCATTTGACAAGGAGTCACTGCACGTTCCAGCCAGCAGGAAAAGAACTGGTTCAGAAGAAAATGAGTAAGCTCCACTCATTTCAGGAGAGATTTGAATAGTTTATTTTGCCCAATCAAGAGCCCTTCAGCATAATGACACATTCATATACACATATATGAACATTTTTTCTGAAACATTAATGTATAATACATTTTAAATTTAAAATACCAGCTGCACAGGTATTTTTATTTACAAAAATATTCCATACTTAATTTTTTAACTTTGTTATGATGACATAGTTCAGTTCAAGTACATGTAAGTAAAATAACTCTATGCAATCTAACATAGTTGTGTTCGTAACAGTACAGTTTGCAGTTCATATGAAACTATATTTGTAGACAGATGGATTTGCAACCTTACCTAAAATGCATATTCCAGTAGTCACCCTCAGAAGAGCTAGTGGGGCTCAGCAAGACTTAACTGAAGAGTAAGTTGCAATGAACAAAAAGAAAAAAAGAAGAGACACACATGTACACACTAAGATATACATAAACAAGAACTGCTACACATCAAGCATGCTTACCCACAAGTGGGCAATGTTAGAAAATTCACTTTTTTTTTTTTTTTTTTTTAGTTTTTCCCCCATGGTGCTGGTACAATGAAACAGCAGCATAACTAGAAAGCAGCATGTTTTCCTAGTTCTAACCACTACAGACAGCAGAGCTCAGGTCTAAAATAACAGTATTGCTTATTTACAATTCTGTTTTAAAAGGGAATATTTAAAACATGTTCCCACCCCTCTCCCTTCGCCTCACCTATTACAGAATGGTAGTGGTAATCCACATACAACTCCTTACATTGTTTTCAACTGAAACAGTTTAACTTCTAGTTATTATTTGCCTGATAATATGTAACTTAAGTACTTACAAAAAGAAATACAAGCGTCAAAGTAACCTACAGCTGTATGACTTAAATGTTTCTAGCGCTTTACATGGAAAACCAAAAGGAATACCGATTGACATCTTTCATTTGAGTTTTCTATGTTTCTGACTTTTTTGCCCTTTTAAAAACGAACGCCCACATCTTTACGCCTAAAATTTACAAAGTGTAAAAGAACCCAGAAACACAGCACACTCATCTGGTTTGAAACAGTAATTAAGTAGATGATATACAGCACATCTTTAACACGCATAAGAAGAAATTGGCCCAGCTTAACTTAGCTTTTTCAATGAAAACTGAAATAAAATTGGTTTAGCTGATTCACCTACACTACACTTTTTTTTTTCCTCTGTTTTACTTCTTCCCCTCAAATATCGTTAATTTCTGTCTACAAAGTATTTGAAAATTCTGTGGTAGTAGCAAAGCTATCCACATCCACCCAAAAAGATTCACCCAAGCTACACAGGAGATTGGCTAGAATGAGAAAAGGCTCAACCGACAAGTCGCCCTGCAACTCGGAGGGAGGCAAGGCACTGCGCTCCTTCCCCCCCTCCACTGAACTTCAGCTGCTCTCACTGCCCGCCTGGGTAAGTTAAACCACGATGAGAAAGAAGAGGGCACTTCAGCCACAGGCTGAAAGTTCTCCGACACATGTTTGGTGTACAAAAAAACCCCTGACTTGCATGTAAAGAGCTGATGTATAATCAAGATTCATACATGACTCGAAAACATTTATTGGACAAATTTCACTTTGATTTTGTGGAATTTTAAGAGTCCAAGGAATAGAGCTGAAAAAAGCCTTTCATGTGTATAGCGAAAAAAAATAAAATCATAGAAAACCAGTCAGCCACAGACTGCAGCTATTGAGAAAATTTTTACATTAGGTTAGTTTTCTGAATGCACTATCCTCCCCCTCCGTACTCAGGGAATTGTCTAAGAATGCTCAAAAGTGGGAGGTAAAAATAAGCATGATTATTTTCCGCAAAGCAAAATGGGCTATTTGTTTTCATTGCTTAGTAATTGTATCATCTCGATATGAGATATGAATGTATTCATAAGCTTAAAACAACTTCTTCTATGGATAATATACATACTTTAAGTACTTTGACTTAAAAATTGAACATAAGTCTTTTTAAAATTAAAGGTAGAAGTGTACATATAAAAATTATTTAAAACTTAAAGTATATTCTTAAGCAGTATGTATAAATATAACAGATTTTATCGTATTATCTAGTAACAAATCTGAAAGTGTTGCAGTAATTTATAAACTGAATGCCGACACAGGATTGTGCCTTTCATTAGATTCTATACTGTATATACTTGTATATACATATTTTGCTAAGAAAACACACATTCGAAATGATAGTCACATAATTAGCAAATGTGCCTGAAAGTAATCTGTTCAAAGTCTCTATTGAACATGTGTGGTTATATACAAATAATGAACCTGAACTCCACAAATGTAGAAACAAAATTAAGGAATAAAATATCATGATTGAATTAAAGTGCAGGAAAAATTCAAGTTTAAAAGTTCAGGTAAGATCAGTGCCATTCATTAAGAAAAAAAAATGGAAAAGAGAAAAGGAAAACAAAAAGGGAAAAAAAGGAAATGAACTTGCTTCCAGAAGTCCTCCTTTGGATGTAGCTTTCCAACATCACCTGCCATGCAAGTACCACCTCAGGCAAAAATCTTTGCATAAAGACAGACAAGGAACACAGCTATATATTACTATTTTTATAACTGACTGTTCGCTGAAGAACAAATCACTGGAGATGCCTGTGGTGTAACACTTTCAGACTTATTTGGAATACACGCATATTTACACATGTCAACATTCAAAAGTAACAATTTGGCAGGACTAAGGTGAAGAAAAGCTTCTTCAGTTTACAGCTCCTAATGAGACACACTACATATAAACAGATAGGTAGCAGCAGTTTCTTACACTTCCATCAAAAACAAATAAAAAAGGAACAGCTCAATTGTATTTTATAGTTTTCCAGTTTTCCAGACACTCTAAAAAAGTTTCACACAACTAAATTGCTAGCGAAAAAAACAGGGGTGCTTCCCCCAAGGATTTCAATATACTTTGCTGTACAAAAGGTGCACCACCAATAGCAGAGTAAGATGCAATGATTGTGTGTATGATCGACTTCCTTCCACAGAGAAGGAAAAAGGAACATTTTAGACTAAAATTGTACATAGCCCCTTTTATTGACCGAGAACCATTTGTGTATTCATCTCATGAGCAATTATTTCATTAGTTTTCAAATCCAGAAGCATGCTCTGTACATATACAACAGCAAAAAGATTCAACTATGATAAATTCTATAATACCAAATAAGCCACTACTCTTCTTGTACTGGCAGATGGTCTTTCATTGCCTCTTATTTTTTTGCTTGCTGGTGGTTGTCAAATGCTTCTTGATGAGAAAGTTAAGTACGCTTTCCTGTCAAGCCGAGGTCATCTTCCATTGAAGTGATACCACGATTTGCTGAAGAGTGCTTTTGCCATCCTCTCCCCCAGAGACTGACCAGACTAAATTTCCAATATGTTGCTTTGAAATACAGTTCCTCTTCACCAGGTCAACTAATAATCAGTCATCTCCATTCATAAATGTGAGATAAGGAAGAGGACAAGTGTCAGGTAGGGTGTTTTATTTTTGGAAAGGGTATGGATAGTAGTTTATCTCGTTTTCTTCTACCTGGATTTTTAAGAAAACTGTGTCAATTTAAATATGCACTAATTAGACACCAAAACCCAAATTAATTATCATGCAGTGGCAAAAATTGCGTGGCAAGCTGAGTTAAGTAGCTGGAGTTAACGTGGCCCTAATAGGTACGGGGCTGAGCTATCAAGAAATAACGCTGCTTGTTCAAACTGTCACCTTCTCATTCATTAAGTTCTTTGAACGGTGGACAAGGTTTGGCATGCCCTTGCACTGGCAACACAATTCACTTGTCTTTAATTGAAAGTTACTACATACAGAATCAGGGAACTTAGCAATTTTTGCTACAAAGCTCAAACATTGGGAAAATGAAATAAGAACCATCAGTAAATTCAGTATTTTGCATCCTTTAAGTGTTTTGGAAGGTCTATGTGCCTGCAACATCACTTTACAGTACAAATATAACCAAGGTTTTGCTTTGGGAACATTCAGAAAGTGTGTGAAAAAACCCACACAGAATGTGATGCTCGGAGAAGCAAACTCAAATGATTAATTTCGGACAACGTAGACCTATCAGCTTTTAAGTACTCCCTTATGCAAAACAAAACCAGCCAGTACCTATTGCTGCTTTGAGGAAAAAACCCTGAACTTTTCTAAATGCAAACACTTATTTTAAGGAATCCTCTCTCTTTAAGAGAGCTCTGGTCATTCCCACTGTTACAGCTCTACTGCAGCAGCCATTAACAAGTTAGCTCAGCTGTATTATTTACCTCACCCAAACTGAACATTATTTCACCAATTCCTGAAGCCCTGGTGGACACTTACCACCGCCCACATTGAAAACTGCTTTAGAGACCAAATCCAGACTTTAGGCCAACTGCCTTCAGTGCTGGGTGGGGCCGAGATGGGTACTTGTAAAATAGCTCTATTAGCAAGATTTAGAAATTTGCTAAACAATATACTGACAATTACTATTAGATGCTTGCCATTATTCATGCATCAGCACCTCCACGGAGTGCAAAACGGTTTGAAAACCTGAGTCCAAGATTATCTGATTTCATAGTAAAGGACTAAAGGGGCACCTAGAACTTAAGTTTTGAGCAAAACTCTATTTTAATTAATGGCTGTAACGATATATTCTGTTAAATACTTATAAAAATTCACAGCATGAATAAACCCACACCCAATTCTAAATGTTACAGAAACTGAACCAATAACTATTTTTGGCAAAAAAAATAATTTAACTGAACAGAAGTTGAAGTATTCTTACCACAATGAAGATGTTACCACATTTCACATTGCACGACCATAACACAAATGAAAACTCCCAGCATGACACATTCCAGTCATATTATTCACTTGACTTTAATGCAAAAATTGTGTATTCTCTTGTTTTGCACTTCACAGAATATGATGTGAATACAAGAATACGAGATCAGGGGTCCAAGAAAAGACTATGCACAGGCCAACTATGTATACAATTTTCAGCAAGAAATCTTCCATGTCTCCAGCTTTTCAGATGAAAGAAGTGACCAAATCTTCTTCAACAGTAATGGTAAATATAGCGAGTCCTAGAGAGGGTAAGTGTAAGTCAGCTACCGTCCGGCAAGACAAACAACTTTATTCCAGCTCCTGGACCCCTGATTTATTGCCTCTCCTCACAGGAGGGTATAACACTGGCAGCAATTACAATAGCACAAAAACTTTTGGCATATGAAATATTAACACAGGATTGACCCTGCGTTGCCCCTGCCCATCTCACACCACGTTTTCCCTTTACCTTCTTTTCCTTGTGCTCTATTTACCTTCTCTGTTCCACCTCTCAGCTATCCAACAGCTAAGAAACACTCAAGTTTGGTTTTTCTTTTGTGTGTGTGTTTCTTTTAAATATAAAGCTCCTCAGTGAAAGCCACAACTGAGGTAAAACAGTGTGTGATTTGTGCTAGGAAACAACAGTATCCAATGGTGAATACTCCTTTAAATTTCAATGGTCCTGCCAAAATTAAGGAAAAACCAAGATTTTTTTCATCAGGACAAAATTAAACAGATGTAATTGATGAGCGTCATCAGAATTGGTACCACTTCTTGTCTTTGTACTTCAACATCATCTAAAAGAAAACAAAAAAACAATTTCTAATTACTGTTTCTATCATGTACCCCAAAGTACAATGACATAAATTACATGCTTACAAAGCGGCACGAGAAAGAGCGACTTTAGTAAGGCTTCTCAAGATTGCAACAGCAGCATTGCTGAACAGCAAGGGTTTAGCATGACTAATTTTCTAATGGTAGCTTCACTGCTGATGATCTGGCCTCAGACAGAAAAAGACACTTTTGGGAGAATGGGAAGGTTGCAGAGGAGTTGATGGGATGGAAAGAGATCTGCGTGAACACAGAACAGCCATCCTAGGTAATTGCTGAGGAAAAAATTTAACTCGGACTCATGGGGTTTGCCTACAACAACTGGATCTTTCTTAAGAACCACAGGAATCCTTCTTAGCCAATTCAGCGACAAACTCTCTAAGTAATGGGACACAAGACAAAGCTGTTTACATTAATAGTTATTAAGAGTAATGATTGAGAAATAAAGGGAAGTATCCTTTAGCAATGATATTGCATTCCCTCTAGATACTCAACATGGCTTTGCACAAGTCAGTTACTTGTAAAATTGCATTTATTTGATAAAGAATTGGTTTAACTTTCAGTTTAACATGCAACAGACTTACCTCATGAGCGTGTTTAGAGAAAGAATCAGCACTGTAAAGCATAGCTGCAGTTTTTTCTTCCAGTTCTCCTAGTTTCTGCCCTCTTTCATCTAGGGCCAACCGGGCTCGTGCTAGTTCACCAACCACACCAGATGCCGCTCCTTTGACACCTTCAATACCCCCAGGCCCTGGAATATGCTGGGCAAGACTCCTTGATGCCTTCCCAGATGCTGATTCTCCAACTGGAGTCATTTGTAAAGCAGCGAAAACAGAATAGTGAGGTTTTCTGTACTTATTATGTTAAGTACCAATGTATAATATTTAGAACTAGTTTATAAAGAGGTCTTATTTCTTTGCATGGACACCAAACACCTAATCATAGGCATGACCACGAGCAATAAACACTACTCAATGTTACTAGGTGTTACTATGTAACAAAATTGAGATCTTTTTCAAACATATTTCCAGGCGGTTATGAAATTACAACCTTTTCACAGCTCAAGTGTGAAATTAAAACTCTCTCAACACTGCTGGCATCACAGTCATCAACACAATTGTTCTGGTGAAGTGGTTTTTAACAGCATAGCTTACTTCACAGAGAAGGTGTTGGGAGTTCAGCAGACAAAGCAGGAGAATTTCAAAAATACAAGCTGCGGTCACTTCTGGAAGTCCTTTGCTGGTGTAGTCACCCAGTACAACTCCACCAGCAGAGGTTTCCTTTGATGGAAGTTCAGTTTTAGATTCAGACACCTGAAGATTAGGTGTCTACACTCTCATTATTGTAAAAGTCTTGTAAAAATAATAATAATGTAATGTAAATCATGAAAAGGCAGTACAGCTGTAAGAACAAATCAGCTCATCCTAAAGCAAACACCCATGAAGGTCATCTGAACAGCTCTCTGGACTCCAATGACCACACTGACTATAACTCCTTTGATCATAATGGGACACTAGCAACCTACTTCAGTCTAGACACTTAATGGACATGTCAATCTCATGCTGAATTGTATAGTCTACAAAAATTTGAGTGAAGGCCAAAACATTTTTGGATGCTGAAGTCAAACAAAATAATATTTAACTTTTTTTTAAACAATGAAATTATGTTTTAAATATTTTCTTTTTTTTCACCTCTAGGAAAAATAATATACTAACTTACTTAAACTTTGTTGCAGTATTTCAAGATTTTCTGATTTGATTTTACGCTTCTAGGAGGAATGATTTAGTTTTCAACTAACTATGAACATCTTTCTGTGAATTCCCAAAAATAAAAAAAGAGAAATAATTTCACTTATTACAGATTCTGCTGTGACCCTCATGTCAACTGTGACTACTTTAAAGACGACATTTTCATGCGTCTTTTGAATTGCCATTGAACCCACTTTCAGGTTACAATTAATTAGGCTTTTCTCTCCCATTCAATACTATTTTCCTATTGAAGATCTGAGCCAAAACTTGATGGTGGAAACTGGAAATGATGTAAAGAGATAGCTTCTAAAGTTACAATCTGTTGCCATGAAAAGGCAGTTTTTCCCCTGTCCCAGTCATACTAATTAAACATATTCAAAAGACATGTAGATGTGGTGCTTAGGGACATGGTTTAGTGGTGGGTTTGGTAGTGTTAGGATAACGGTTGGACCTGACGTTCTTAAAGGTCTTTTCCAACCAAAATGATTCTATGATTCTGTTAGAGAAATTAGCGTGCACAAATTGTATTTGACCAATCTTTCAAAGTATTACACATATATAAATACAAAACTAATTTTTAATGCAGAAATGACCTCTAAATCATTGATATTTGTTCAAGATGTACAGGCACAAGTAGTAAAGACTAATTTAAATTTTATTGGACTGATCAAAAGAACCAATTAAAAAAAAAAAGAAAGGCTGCCAGGGAGCCATGTCTGTTTTAACAGCTACGTTTTGTGCTGAGAAGGAAACAGTTCTTTTCTACAAATAAACTTGCATAATATGGTGTTTCATCTACCAAATATCTGAAAAAGTGGAAGTTATTTTCCTTCAATATATTAAAACGCTGCATGCCACCACGTTAAAAAGCTGTAAACAAAAAACAATGAGAAAGTGATAAAGCAGTAAAACTTGGCCAAATCTGAATTTTACTTTCCTATGAACAGAGGACTGAAATGAACTATCATACAGTTCTGTCCTTGCTCTCACTCCTAAGACACCTCTGCAGAATCCAAATGAGGAAAATTAAGTGAAGTAGAATGGAGTTTCAATTTTTCTCACTGTCCAGAGCAGTGTTCTCCAGAACGAGCCCCTTTCAGTTCAACAGCATTAAGAAAATCAGTACGATACACTTCATAAAGTTGAATAAAAATAAGATCATTTTTCCCATTTCTTGTTTTATAATCTACTCCTCAATAAATGAGGTACAGGAGCCTGTGAGAAAACAGTACCAAGCTCTTCCAATCTTGTTGGTAAGATGTATAACACATAAAACCTATTAAAAAAAGTATTTTTCATTCCTTTTTACTGTCTTCTTTGCAAGTGTAATGTTCTATTAACACAGGTAATACATTTCTCAAGGATCACTGGCTTCCTTGGGTAGAAATAGTAGAAAAATAACAAATATTAAAAACTTACAGAGTTCTTCTCTGTCAAGTGACTGTGCCCCACCTCCAAACAGACCTTTAAAGAACCCCCTGTTTGGAGCTTCTGGTGTTTCTACAGGAGTGAAGAGCTCACCCAACATTTCCTTTGCAACGAAGAAGAGACACAATCAAGGCATACATTATTTCACACACAAATTAATGGAATATTCTTTCACTTTAAGGATTTATTCCACAGATTTGAATTTCAACTTAATATGCTTCAACAGGCATCTACCTTTGCAAGGCGACTTAGGAAATAAAAAATAAAAACATATCAAGAAATCTGTTCTGATAGTTGCAAGCTCATAGCTCCTGAAATTCAGCAGTGAAGAAATGGGTTCAAGTAAAGCTGTATTGGCCTCTCAATAACTTGGGCAACACTGTTGGGTTTGTTCTGTTGCAACTGTATCTGTACATACTCATATCCATGCGTGGTACTAAAGTAGAGCTTATGGCTTGCACCTCTGCTATTTCAGTATTCTACACAGCTTCCAAGCTGAAGCATGACTGAGAATCTTTTCAAGCTGTTAATATCCCTGAAACATAATAGCTCCCTTCAAGTCTCTCAAGTTAGCGTGCCCTGCTTATGTCAGCATGCATCTCCACCAGCATCAACTGAACAAGTTTTGTTAACTGAACATGTTAAACAAGGAAATTTCTTATCGGTCAAAAAGCAAATTAAGTAAGAAAGTTTCAAATAAAAAACGTATGGATGAAATAGTAAAATTTAAGAGTAGGAGAAGTGATTAATGCTGAATCAGACTCTACAGTGAGAAAAATCAAAGCACAAAAGCCAAAGGCTCAGCTTTATGACAAACTTAATTACCATAAGCATCATGAATCTAGAACCAAGAACCTCAGAGTATATCAAAGAAAACAGTAATTGTTTTTTTAATTCATTACCTGAAGATTTTCACATGTTTCTTGACTGTAGGTGAGCCTCTGTATTTCAGTTGGTGAGACAAGATAGAGTGCTTGTCCATTATTGGTAAAGCAGAATGTTCTGGCTATTCGCATGTTGGTAAGTGGCAGGTAATATACATCCAACAGTGGCCTTAAACTTGGCAAACTTAAGGAAAAGAATTTAAAAAGCCTGTTAAATATAGCAGGATTGTCCATTATGGATCAAATGGCTCATTTTTAAACTGCAATACATTATTTTTCTTTTCACCACCTGCATAAGTACCATATAAACAGGGTGTCATTTAATGCAATTACAAAACCTCAAAACATAAATATGCGATTTTTCAAGGTAGCACCTCAAAAGTGAAATTTAAAGATCTGCATCACAGATGCATTTAAAAGCATCATTTAAATGATTCTCTGAGGATGCAAACCACAGATTTGCTGAAAGCATTATTCAGTAATTACTAATGAAGTTTCTTGATAAGTATCTACCAAAAGTTTCTAATTAAACATCCTGCCTTTTCCCTCAGGTGAAGAATTTCTCCTTGACTAAAAATGCAGGTCTAAAAGATTTCTCCTCAAGAACACTTTGAAAGCACATCCCTGCCTATTTCTAAGGAAAACAGAATTCAGTAGCCTCAATCAGTCTTATGAGTTATGTCCACCCTTTTTTGTCTGACTGCATATTTAAGAGGAAGTCCTCTTAGAGCAAAGCTTGCTTATCTTCTGTCTTCTGATTCTGCAGTACTTACTGCATCAAGCTACTGAAGAACAGATGCAGCACACTCAGGCTGTAACAATGCTCTTGCTACCAAACATTCCTCTCCCATAAAGTAATGATAAATGCAAGTAAGAAGTGACTGAACACCTGATGTGTGGATAAACAGAACCCAAAATAAACTGCTGTCTCAGAAAACATCCTGTGATATTTTTCTACAGACATGATTTACACAAGATGTTAGCTGCAAACGTACCAACAATACACTAAGCAGCTTCTGCTGCAGATACCATCTGCATAAAATTATTATTTCTAGAAACTAAAAACAGCAGCAAAGGGGTACAGTGAAGCCAAAAAGCAATGAAAAAGAAAGACGTAGTAACTGCAATGGTAAGTATTGTTCGTTTTTCTATGATACTGAGGTTTCTAAATATTAGGCTTCCATTTTACAGACTGTGGATTGTCTCTTAGCAGGAGACTTCATCTATGACAAACAAAAGGAAGAAGAACTGGTAAAATGACTTTGGAGGCAAGTTCTACAGGTAAGAAAAAAAAAAAAAAGCAATATCCTCTTCTAAGCACATCACCCAGAAATGACAGTTCTGCCATGCATGTATCTAAAATAAGAATATTCCTAAGACTGAGTTCGTAACAGGGAAGTGCTTTGCTTCAGACCAATGGAAAACATAAAACATCCTTACAGCTTCAAGACAAAACACAAAAACATTAGATCAGACAGGATAAGCATGACATAGCATTTTCATAGTATCAAACAAATCTGTAACAGAACCATTAAGTCCCATCTAAATTTATATCAGTAGATAAGTATTGGGCACTTGGGTATGATACAATGTTCTGACAACTCCACGCAAAGAGCACTTCCCAGCAGCAATTCATGTTTATGAAATGTAGTTATTGATCTTGAGAGTTCGACTTCCCTACTCAATGTAACAACAGTTATAATTTAGCACCTACCTCTATGCAAAGTTCATTAGGAAACAAAATGGATCCTGAGGAAAACATGATTTGTTTCAATATATGGTACCTGAACACTATTAAGTTCAGTTTTAATTAGGTGAAAACCAGTGCTTGCCCTGCAAGGTGAGTAGCATTTTGTAGAGATGTTTAGAATATATGTTGGGATATACATTAATGGAGTTCACAGACTTAACAATTGAAATTTATGTTTTAATCATAGTACGCATCAGCTTTAGTTTTATTCCTAACAACTTCCTGAAAAAGTATCTTTCTAGAGACCTTCCCAAGCTGAGAGCTTATTTCACAACGTTAAAAACAACCTTTTAGGAATTCTACTGGCATAATTTCGCAATGCCATGTTCCACATTTATCTTAGCATTAGCCATGACTAAAATGTAGGTGCAAGGGTATACGAATAAAACAGCATTTGGAAATATTCAAGAAAAGAACATGTTGAAATTACATAGGTAACATGTAAGTACATTCAAACATTACTTTTACACTTTTAGACTTGTAACTTAAAGCTCTTACTTCAGACGACTTCTTTCTATATTACAACTGCTAACAATTATTCTTGCCTTCATGGCCTGAGTTTAAGGCCTTTAAGACACGAAGAAGCTACACAACAAAACTGTAAGCTTGAGGCATGAGTGTGATGCAGACAGCTGCATAAAAATATGCAGAACTGTGGTCAGGTACCAGTTGAAAGTCTGACTCAAGGCAGTTTTCTCCATCAGGGAGTAAATTCAACTTTGAGACGAACTTCAACAACTCACGGACCTATATCACGTGTTTGGAACTATTTGTTGAATCAGAGCAGCTTGAGCTAAACTGGTCAACTTTTTCATATGTTAAAAGCATAACTAATAAGAATGCATAATCAAAATCAGCCAGGCCCAAGTGTTAGAGGTTCATCGACACTGAGTGAATGTAGATTTTCTATTCATACTCTTAAGGAAAAGGAAACTTTTTATCTAACATAAGACTATTTTTTCTTTTCAATATTTAAGTTACTATCAAACAGGTCTTACCTAAAAGTCATAATATGTCCATTGGCACAGAAACATGCAAGGCAGATACTGTTACTCAATGACACTATGTCTCCACGAAGAACAAAAGAAGTCTCTGTTATGTTTTGCTTATAAATACAGTTCTGAGACGGCAGTGAGATAACTTTTGCTTGCTTTTCTGAACATATCACTGCATATTGGTTTTCGCTGATTTCCTGAGAGGAAGAGGGGGACACTGAGACAGGACGTCGTTTTTTCGTTGTATCTTTTCCATCTTTATCTTCAGGAACATTGTGTTCTCTCCAGGGTTCATGTGCTGGTGGGACCAAAGATCCTGTGGTATCCAGAAAAGCCATTCTCAAGATCGCCCCTTTTAGCCTCAGGATGGTTCCTAGAAAGAAGAAGTTGAGGGCATTTCTAAAACAGTTCTCCTAAACTGTCTTTCAAGCTACAAAATATTCCTTTAAGAAGCTGGCACAATGAAAAGAAAACAAGAACTTACGCTTGCCTCTATAGCAAAACAGATGTACCTAAACCTTTGGACATTTATTTAAAAACAAAAGCATGTGCAAGAGCACATAGGTATTCGGGAAAATGTTAAACCACGTTTTAAGGCTTAAGCGTACGCATGCTCTTCCATTAACTTCAATGGAAATGCATACATTTATTAGGAGAGCCAAGCTGGAATGCACGTTTGTATGCAAGTTCAGTGCCACAAATACAACTCATTTCATTCTCTCCTGAGGACTACACAGTGTGCTTAATATCAACAATAAAGGTTATTAGTCAAAGGTGAGCACCTCCTTTTCCTTCAATACTGACAGGTTCAGAAACAAGCAACACATGGGTTTTTTCCCCTGCAGTTCACACTTGAATCCACTTCTCTAGCATAAAATGAAAGTTTTCCTTCCCCACTGTTTAAACTACTGTCTCTGTAGGCCTGATCTTAAGCCAATACACTTTTTATTTTACTTATAGTTATTCATGTGGAAGCAAATACATGAACATCTGCTAAGTAGACAAAAAAACCCATACACATGACAGTATCTTTCAAGGCTTATGCTGCTGATCCAGTGATTAAACATACTGTCTATTTCGCAGCCTTGCCTTTATGATCAAATGTTACCAAATCTGAATACTGCTGCAAATACCATACACAATAAGCACAAATCACATATGTGGTCTAGAGGTCACCCTATTCCTAATCACTATTTCGATCAAAGAGCATTGCAATTTGCATGTCCCGATACCACTGGTGTGAGCAAAGTGGAGCAGAGCAGCATGTTCTGCATGAGACAGTGATAGCAGGAAAGCTAAGCCTATGCTTAACAGCACATTCAGCAAACGATTTATACACAATTACAACAAAATCAGATGCTGTGTATCAGCAAAACAAGACACGAGACCTCTCACAGCAAGCCAAAGGAGTATTTTATCTCTGATGTTTAAAGCTACTTTTAATTTGGATTCCCTTTTCATGATGCAGGAAACCAGAAAGTTTCCTACCTCATGACTAAAAAAAATAAAAAAAATAAATTGAGCATTTGAAATACTCATCTCTGCTGCTATCTCAGTTTAACAACTGCCAGGTACTACATTAAGGTTAGCAAACGTTTTTCTCAGCAAGTATACATTAAACTGATATTTTATATTATCCGAGATCATATTTTCAACATTGCAACTTTAAAATTCTGGTAATGAAGTAACCAATGTAGATTGTTAGCCTTAGTAGCTACATCAACAGAGTATGTATTAATTTTTAAGTAATCCATAATTGAGAAAAAGTTTCTTTAAAAATACTATGTACAATGACAACAACACTTTATCAAAGTATACTTTAGCCCGTCTGCTTTGTACGTACCACTAGGAGAAACAATTACTGGCTGAAGAAGTCTTTGCTCTCCTCCTGGGGGTAAGTTCAGTACAATGACAAGCACTGTACCCAGCGTGGTCCCAACCCAGAGGCATGGGGAAGGCGACGTATCAGCCTTTCTTGTGAAAGTCTCACAAAAATGAAGAGCTGAAATTGCCTCGCGTGACTCTTTGTCAATGCTAGTTACACTAGAACTCCGGGATCGACTGAAAGAGTTGTCTTTGACATCTGAAAATAAATCAGCATAAATTAACAAGAATGGCAAAAATCAGGGATTAATAGAATTCAGGCTTTCCTTTTTGTCCTTTAGCATGAAGTATATACTAACTACCATTCTATCGATTATTACTCCTGTATTCTTCCCCAGTCATATTTCCTTTTGGCCCAGTTTTCAACACACTATCCTGAACAAAGCATCCAATCTTTTTTTGCAGAGGTTGCCATTAGGTAATTATCCTGAACAATTGTTATGCATATTTCTGTCTTCTTGGGACAGAGAATAACAGTCATCATAAAACAGGACTCAACCTTTTAAAAAAAATTGAATTACAAACCTCTCTGCCAATTAGTTCAATGATTAGATTAAAAACCCATTGGCTTCCATGGAACTCAGTTTAATAATCTTATGAAGATGCAACTATTTGACATTAAGAACTGCAGCGACACCCAGACAGCATGGTAACGTGTAACCTGTAATGACTCACAATAATATTGTCCCACTTTAGGAAACTGTATGGAGGAGGTCTAATAGGCTATTTACACCCACCCAAACTTTTATTAAGAAAAATGTCAAATGCTGCCAAATGCCACATGGCACTGGTATGCAAAGCTGAAGATTGCTATTTTGAATACTGTAGCCAGAAATAGCACTAAACTTTTCAGGACATCTTGTTTACTGCTTAGCAAATAACATTCTCTTAACAGAGAATGAATCCTAACATTAACAAAAAGCTCAAGCCAGTAAACATGCTGCTGCATTCTAGCTGCGTGTTGTTTGTACATGTAGTGATACTTAACACATCAGCATATCTGAATTTATCTGTGAATTCACAAATCAATGCTTTACTTTAACTCATCATTCCAAAATTTTAGCACAAGACAACCCTTACTAGGAAAAGTTTGATGCAATTTATATCATGACTTTTAAAATATTAAGTTATTGTTCTGGATCTCTGGGTAGGGTATAGATGCAATTGGCACCTTTAAAGCAAGATTAAGAGCTGAAGAGCAACATTTAACCACACATCTTCTAGAGGTATCACTATGCAAGTGTCATTAAATTATTGCAAAACTTTCCACAAAGAACATCTAACATGCATTTGAAAAACATCCAAACTAGATTTCAACTGACTAAATACAGACATCTACTTAACACAAACACTGCATCTTCTCAGGTGATACTTGTCTCATTCCAACAAGGATAGAAAAAAAAATTATTGTCCGGTCAAATTTTAGCTAAGTCAACATAAAAAAGGGATTATAGAAAGAAACTAGGTCAACGACTCATTCTTTGACATACTAAGTTTTCACATTTAAAAAATCAAATCCAGAGTAAAACACTGAAAACAATTACTTGTTTTTATAATTCCTCTAATGACCACAACCTCTTAAGTTGCTTGTTTCTTCAGGCTTGAGCATTTACTTACTGTTTTTTCAACTCTAACATGGATTAATCAGTCTGAATATAATCATACATTAACTGCAATAGGCATAAAACTTAATGTGCATTCGTTGAGTGGCATCTGATTGAATATTTGAAGTGCGTGTGTACAAATCCCAGAAGCATTGAAATGGACAGGAAAAACCCTATAAAAATTAACTTGCTAGACAATACGAGCACTGTGGAGAGTGGACAACTCATTCAGAAGAGAGAACTGATGGTAGAGTTTAATTGCTTTAGTGCACAATATTTATCCTGAAGTTAAGGAAGAATCTATGGTTTGTTAACAGATTAGTTGCAGATGAAGAGGAAGGAACAACAGTGTGATGACTCACTACACACTTCATCAGAAGGAAAGATGACACTTTAGAGCAACTAAACCAAAGGATAGCACCTAGCGATAATGGTGCTTAATCATCTGGATTACAACATTGAAAAACAATGGTTTAATGTGGACTAGAGTATGTTCAAGATAACTTCTGTTTTAGAAAGTGGAGGAGAAACATAGAAGCACATACTTTAGATTTTGTTTTGGCTATTCAGGGAGGAAAAGGTGTAGGTTAAAGATCTAAAGATGGAAAAGTAATTTGAAAGAATGAGATCATGGAAGAGTAGTTTCAAGAAGGCATGGAAAGAAATGAGAGAAAATGATAAGGATAATGACCTTGGGAGAAAGGCATTTCAGCTGTCTCCTAGAACCAGCAGATACTGCCACATAGGTGACCAAAAAAACCCAACATATAAGTAACCTGACAATCTTTGAAGAACACTATGCAAAAGCTATCCCTCTAAGAGAAAAGATAGAGGTAAAATTAAAAAAAAAAAAATATATAATTGCCTAAGGGATTTATTTACAGACCTGAAAACCTAGAAGAATTTCACACAGAACAAAATGAGGCATCTAAGAGTAGATATCCACACACGTGCAAAGTCAAACAAAACCAGTCAAAGGCTCTTACAATTCAGAAGGTACAAAGTATGTTGAGTACACCAGAAGTGAGATGACAAAAAAAACTCCGTTACTTCAGTAGAAAGAATGGCAAATACTAAATGATGTAGAAAATGCTGAAACTCCTTCAGGATCAGAAAATGCTGAAAGAATTTCAGCACTCTCTTTTATCAGGTCTTCATAAAAAAAAAAAAAGAATACTTCAAAGTACTTACTGCTATCAAAGAACTAGGAGCACAACAGTAGAATTAGAATGAATGGGATAATACTTAAGCACAAACGTGTTCCAGTTTGCAAAGTATGATAAAACTCACCCTAAACTGAAATAATCCCTAAACCATTAGTAAACATAGTAAGGGGGATCAGGAACAGACTGAAAAGACAAATCAAATTCTTCTGCTCTTTCATGCCAATAAGGCCACGTTAAGTCCCTCTAGTTCTGGGTCCAAGAGTTCTAGAAAGATGAGGAAAAATTTCAAGTCCAGAGGAGAATAACAGAAGGCATCCTCGATTTAGACATAACTCAAAAAAAGCAGAAGGAACTGAATTTTGTTTTAAAAAAATAACCTGCAAAAAATGAAGATTAGAGATGATGACAGCTTTCAACTGCAGAAAAGATGGTTAACAAAAAGAGAGCACTTATCACTGTTCACTGCAGAAAGGACAAGAAAAAGTTTATATGGAAACAAAGAAAATCGATTAAGTAACAGGAAATTTGTCTAACTGACTATAAAACATTGGAACCTTCTGTCTCTTGCTGTCTGGGATTTTTCTAAAAGCTTACTTATTAGCGGCTCATGAATAGAAGAGAGGTTAAACTGTCAGACATCTGGATCCTTGCCACAGCAATGGATTAAAGGATCTCTGAGGGTTCCTTCCAACTCCACATTTCTCTGAGTGGATCAAGCTGTAATTCTAAATTGTAAACCAGTGTGGTCCAGCTCAGTTTCATGATATCCCAGTGCTGTGGACTCTCTCCTTGCTGATAGCAGCAGTTGTGAAATACACAGTTCTGCAGCTGCCAGTCTGATCCTGGTCTGTCTTCTGCTGGGGTTGTGGTAGTGATTCTGCTGCAGGAAGGGCAGCAAGCTGTGCCAGGCAGAAGGCAGCTTTCACATTCAGGCTGCATCTACTACTGTAGGTCTACAGCTGTCCCCCAGCATCTTTAGAGAAGGCGGCAAGGGAGCTGGATCTGATCTACAAGCTGGCAAGAGTACTAAAAATACCCAACAAATCTACTCATTTTTATGCTGTTTTAGTTCTGCAATATAATGACCTTTAGTACTACAGACTTCACAACTGAACTGCTGCTTATACAAGAAGTTGCTGTGCTTTTTCAAGCAAAATTAAATTCTCAGACTGGTCATCCATCCAAACAGCTGTATGTTATTTTCATTTAGAGAGAGTGGTCACAAGACAATTAACATTTGTAAAATTATGTCCAATTATCTGTTGAGTGGGCCTCAACAAATCCTGTTATTCTTAAGATATTTCATTTTTCGATTTAAAATGTATCAGATGATTCTAAACAGGCAGCAATTTTCTTTACATTACCTCCTTATTCACGCTTTTGCTATCACAGCACTACTGATAAAGTGAGTGACAGATACCTAAAAATTATGACGAAAGTGTGATAAGCCATGTACAAGATTTGCAGGCTTACCTTATGATGACAGCAATGACATTTTGTGCCTGAGAGCCCCCAAAAAGAGTGGAATTAAAATTTTAGTTCTACACCTCAGATAAATGAAACAAAGTCATGATAGTTTACATAATTTAGGATTCTTACTTTAGTGTACTTGCATTCGGTAAAACAGTTTTAGTAAAAATAAAATCAACTACTCAAACTTACCTAAATCAGGCTTTAACTCAGTTGGCAAACTTAGCTTCCTGGACATCTTTGCTGAAAAGTGAAGTATATCTTTTTTTTAAAAAGAATAAACATGATTCTGCTGGCCTTTATTTGTTTCTTTCCAAATATTTAATATATCATTGCTTATTACAGTAATTGCAGTACTTAACAGGATTTCTACTAAAGCAGAGCCTCACTTCCACAAGGGAGAGGTGCAAAGTAAAACATGGAAGATACTGAAATCCCCAAACATAGCATTTTATGACTTTTGCCAAGCTTCATTTCTCCTCAGGCTTCAGGCAGAACGTGATGGATTGGATGATTTTTGCTTTGGCTCAACCTCAAGTTTTACCTCCCCAGGTGAGAGGACAGAATACAGACTCCTGGCAATTGCAAGAACATGCACTGAAGTTTACATAAAGTTAACATCCCATCCCCTCTTCTTCTGCCCTACTTCCTGATAAAAACCTGACATATGTAAAATAGAGAAAAGATGAACTTTTAATTATGCTAAAACGTTAATGGCACATGTATAAAAAGCCAGTAATCTGAGATGCAATCCTTAACCTTAGAAGAATGAAGATGTTACAGAAAGCAATTACAAAATCAGCAGCATAAATACACTTGCAACACTGTCAAACAAAAGATAGTAGAATTTTGATAATATTGCTGAAGTAAAAAATAGGACTTGAACTCGTCCCTGACTTGGATAATTCTCTTTAAAGGAATGGAAATCTTGCAGTTCACTTAAAATGCAGCACAGTACTAACAACTGCTGCTATAAAAAAAGTCACTAGTAAACTAGTAGCCATACATCCCTTTTCCATCTTTCTTTCCACAATTACTGGAAAAGGAATAATTGTGATGTATAGCTTAACTACTAGACCAGGGCTAGACTCTGTATTTATTTCCCAGCCACACGCTTGAATTTTGATATATCATTTAATTCTTCACTATCTTGTAAGGGTAATACTTCTCTACCTAAAGTAGACGTTGGGCACAGCCTCATAATTCTAGGAGTATTTGTAATGGATACCAGTCATAAAGCAGCCTGAATCTTGCTGCTTTTCTCAGCTAAAAATGGAGTTAACTCATTCTAATTATCATTTTAACAGAAATCATTCCATTTTCTACATACCCTGAAGAACAGCATGTGATTTAAAGTCACTTCCACTCCTTCAAAATGTGAAATGCTTCATTGCACCATCAATTATGCTCATCAATATTGCAAATGCTAGTTATCTGAATAGTTGAACAGTTTTATTCCTGTCATACATTATAAAAATTTGAGAATAAGACTCCAGAAATAATCTTCTAATTTCCTTCATGTCTCAATGTTACAAAGTATGCCCTATTCAAATTAAATTGAAATTACTTACTCTCAGACAGAAATGCTAGTCACTAACTTATTTTAGCGCAGGCTGAAACTGAAAAGGGCATTCCAACTACACATCTTCTACCCTCATCCTTGCATCGGCACCAGCATCTGCCTAGCTTAATGGTGGGGACAAAACTCACCTAAATGAAGTTTCTGCCAAGGTTGCTTTCAACAAGATCAACTCCTTGTTTCAGATCAGAGCTCAGCTATACAAACAGGAAACCATGGCACTAAACAGCACTAGTGACCAGCAGCCCAACTTTTTACTGTCAGCTTGAAAAGAGATCATGAAACCTCATCTGGAATTGTGAATTACAAGATAGGCATTCCTCATCATAAGACTCGTTTTGTGTGTTAGACACGTAAATCAAACACTGAGATACTAAAAAAAAGTTAAAGTATGCACACAGAAAATAATTTGAGTTATTTTTGGCTTTTCACAGCTTTTACCATGTGTGAATACCAGCAATGATTAATTAATTTCATCACTTTAAAGACATGAGCAGTCACTTTTGGCTTTTCAAATACAAGTGTTTAACACAATTCTAACAACTTGGAGAAAACAGACAAAAAAAGATACTAGGTAACAGGTAATAACAATTACAGGCAAGTGTGTTAGATTCTAAGAGTCAATCCATACTTTTAGCTTTTTGTTTCTTAGTGAAAGGCCAGCTGTGTGAACTAGGTTGATAAGGTAAAACATATCGATCAGACATTACTTTCTACAAACGCTGAACTGTGCCTCATTAATAGGACAAGAGGATACAAAAAGGATGCCATTGCTAGAAATAATGAATTAATGTGTTATGCAAAAAAAATTTAAAAACAGATTAATGTGTCAAAACCCTCAATAATTCAAACATAAATAGGAAACAAGAACCTATTTAAATAGCAGTAGTGCCATCTTGTGTTTAATGAAAAAAGTACCTAAAGAGGCAATAAGAAGAAAAAGAAATATTTCTCCAGCTAAGTTCTTTCTAACCAAAACTACTTAGTATTAAAAACCTGCTCGTATTCTGGCTTATGGCTTACAGTTTTGGAAAATTTAGTTTCGTAATGCCTCAGATGAAAAACAGCAGCAGGCCAGGCAACTCCTACAACACAGAAGATACAAATCAGAGAAACTGAAAACATAGGACGGAGATCTACAGAGAGGGAACTCAATGTCAGGCTTTTTACTCCAGTTGTACGCAGGGCAAAGGTGATGGCAACTGCTCCTGCTGGGTGTGGCTGACCTCAAGCTGTAGCTGTCATATCAGAGTTCAATATCTCTCGGTGGTGGCTGCTGCAGCATTTACAGCCAAGACTACCCTTCTGCAGCTGGTGTGAGACAAGGAGACAGAGACTGAGGAGCCGTTCTGCTCCTCCTGGCACATTGCTCCTCAAGGCAACACTGGCTATTTTGCCTGTGTTTAGATCTACTTAAACGTCTGCTCCTCTAAATTAGAAAACCTGGAGTCATACACAGGCACACACACATTCTTTCTGTTGCTAATATATATAATTAAGTAAGTATCGTATAAAAGTATGATATTAGAGAACTATCAAAAAACAATGTTGATGATTCTTGGAGATTTCTCATAGGTCACACCTGAGAGGGAATCTGTTAAAATATGAAAGGTTACCTTGGCATAGCATGTTATAGTTCAGCATAGCAGTCTCAACCAATTCAATGCAGAAAACCTGAAGGCTGAGACATGACTGAACTATCAATAGGAAGCTGTGGGTTAAAAGCAACAGTTGCATTTTATTTGCAGTGGGTTATCCTGAGCTGATACTTTACAATGTATAGCATATCCGCTTGAAAGCTGTAGTGATTTCTCATCCATTCCTTAAAGGAAACAGTCTAAACCCTTAAAGAAAATTCTAAAGATTATAAAGGAGACAAGTGTCTTGGTGTTTTGACAGATAAGAGAACAGTTTACATAAAGCCTATTTCATTTAACATTTCAAGAGAAATAACTAAGCAGCTTAGAATCTGTTAGACATCCTGAAGTCCCCAATTTATTCTATATTTCACAACTACACAGAAGTGAAAGACTTACACTAGCAATTTCAAGATGCTTAAAGAATGGAGTATTGTATTGGTGAAATAGAGAAATTCGATTTTGTGCTAAAGAAATAGATTATCAATGCTGAAACCTCTAAATTTGATATAAGAATAATAAAACCATTCTACAAGAGAATGTAACAAAAGATGTACTGATATATCCAAAATTAGATTGAAGTATTAAAAACACGTTGGAAAAGAGAGTCTTACTCTGGCATCAGGGCAAATGAGAACTTACTATGAGCATTTCAAGACATGCTTCCATGAAAACAGTATTAACAATCAATGACTTCAGCACTGTTTGAAAAATTTAGGTGTACACTTAGAATGTAACAAACATGAGAAAACTTACGTCAATAGCAACAGCAGGATTATAGAAGTTTGGAATTAAAGCTACTCCGCTTAGATCTGCCTACTAATGTTGTTTGCAATTGCTTTTAAATTCATAAACTGCAGAAAATAAATAAAACAAGTTTTCCTGAAAAGCATTTAACATGTAGCCTACTGGAACAGTTAGAAGGTCTACAATATTTTGCATGCACCTTTACTAAGCTTCTTCCAGAAATGGACATTACAACACCTCTTAACTTCTAACCCGATTTGTAGCTATATATTTAATTGCATATCTCTCTTCATGCCAAATAATTAAACAAAAGTATGAGTAGAACAGCTTAAGATTTTGCTTCCACTGAAGTTGGATCACAATGTCTTTCTATAAAAGTGACATGGCCTTAGAAATCACATACTTCCTACTCATTCTTCCTCCTGTAAGTTCCTCTACACTTCTCTGTACTACTTCACAGCACACTATTTGTATTTTCAAGTATTTACCATTCTTAAGAGAAACAACAGCCACAGTATTTTCTATGATTTCTAGAGACGGTTAGTCAAAACAAGTATCTCCATATATCCAAGGTAATCGCAACATTTCCAAAGTTAATCTCTGATGCAAATAAAAGGAAAATGTGACCCAAAAGCAACATTCACAATAGGTCTTTAACTTGAGTTACTGTCCATTCCTTAGCACAGAACATTCACAACCGAGCATTTAGGAAAAAACACAGAAGAAAAACTGATCTTAACAGTATGTATGGCAAAGCTGAAGTGTTGGTACATGAAGCATACACATTCTGTTTTATTTATGCTATTGTTGCAGTCTTAGATAGTTTTCGATCCTTTAACAAAGCAAGAATCCTTGTCTGATACTGCCACTAATGATAGAAATCTGTAGAAATGAAGACGTCTCTACATGAGGTTCAATAAAGCAATTAAACTGACAATGGCTTCATATTGCTAAATGCATGCGTATTATGTTACCACCTTACAGTCCTACCAGTGAAACGACATTACTTCTCACTTTGCAAGCAGTATTCCCTTACTCACTGTTCCCATGTGACAAAAACCACAGGAGTGATATTAACAGCAACTGAAATTATCGGTGTAAATAATTCTTGTTTTGTTTCACAATCTGTTTGACAGGTTATATTTCATACATTGACAAAAAATGGTAAGAACTTGAACGGACTGCACTAAATGCCAGTGCAAAGAGCTACAAGCATGCTACATACATCAAATTCATCCATGTGAACACAGTTGATGGTAATCAATTTGTTTCATACAACATGAAGTTAGTGACAGTCACAGTTTACAAAACTCATTGTCCATTCACATTTAGCTGGCAATTTAGTTTAAAACAATGAAATGTGAAAACATACAACTATTAATACCACCGAAGAGACGTTTTACTTATGTGGACGAGCTTAGAATCTAAGTTCAGAAAGAGCCATGCAGAGGAAACATGCCAGACAAGGTATAGAAACATGGCAGTGAAAAAAAAAAAATCCAGCACCACTAAAACTAACAGAATGCAGATGAAATAACTGTTTCTTTAAACTTCTAATAAACTGTGCAAGTCACACAAATCACAGTGTGAGCTGACTGGGAGACACAAATTACACACTCAACGCATTATTGTCTCAATTAACTCTGTGTTTAACTTAATGCATTTAACCCTGAAGAATGAATTACTTGTAAATGACGGTTTTGACTTTTTAGCTGTGAAAAACATTCACATTACTTTCAGTTGAAAGGCTTCAAATTGAGTCAGATAATAGTTCTATAGAATCGTTAATAGGATGTTTCATTATTACTGTAACAATACTCTTCATAAAAAGTAAAAAATAATGAAGTCACACTCAAACGTACTACATTTTTTTGAGCAAGACAGGCCGTCTTAAGTTCAGAAGATACTGCTTTGGGACAGATGGGAAACAATACCTCATCAACAGGCACTGATATAACATGCAGAAGATTAGATGTTTTTCTGAATTTCCTTTAGGAGAACATATTAACCAATACTCGTGTAAATTATACTCAACTTTTCTTTGATTACAAATTAATTGACATATTATTGACAGCTATTTTTCCCCTGAATTATATTGAGGCTTCCACTGTCTCAGAACTCATCTTCCCTAACACTTCTGTTATCACTGCAAGGAGGTCTCAACATAGTACTGAGCAAAGGGCATATTCTTGCTCTTCTTCATTCTGTACCTCAGATTCCAAAGATAACTTTATCATACCTGTATTTAGGTCACTAAATTTTGAATAATTCTTCTTCTCAATTACTGAATCGCAATGAAAGAGATTAATGTTTTAGGATAAAAGTTAAATTGCCAAACAGCAAATCAAAGGGAGACTACAGGAAAACACATCTCTCCCCCCCGCACACCCCCCCCCCCCGCCTTAACCTATGGTTCCGCACAACCTATGAAATAGTTTAGCATAAATAGTAGTTAGATAAAATTAAATCCTCCTACAATCATATACTAACGTACTAAAGGAAAACAAAATGAATCATTAACATAGGGATTCTGAAATTAAAATAACCATATCCCAGTTAAGGAAGAGCCCCTTTCCCAAAATTGAATCATACAGCCTCTTGCCTTCATTAATTTAATGACCCAGTTGTCAGAAGCAGAGTTCATTTTCATTCCAATCATAAAAGGGTTCAATCCACCTTCATACAACATATTCCAAGGCAATTTTGTCACCAAATTGTTGAGACACAAGTCTGGTAGGGTACTGTGTCAGTGTTGAATGGAGAACAGTAAATGAAGTTCTAGAACAGTAACAGGGTGTACTTATATGTATATATACGACTAAGTCCTCTTCTAGATGATTAAATGAAAATTTGATACTACCTCTATCTTGACCTTAGTCATATGGAAATCTGACCATATGGCTATGAACGCAACACAAACAAATTAAATCAGCCACACGTTCTCAAAGAAAGTGTACCTTTGCAAAAAGTAGTGGAATAATGTTGTGACTTGCATAGACTGAACTCTTAGTACAGATTAGAATTTCATCCATCCAGAAAACAGAGAAGTGCAATTGTAAAATCAGAGAATTAAAACCACCAATATCCTTGATTTTTTAAAAAATTATTGTGCCCAGTGTATTAAGTTCAGAAGCAGCCCACAGAATTACCAATTAGCATAAAGAATGAAAAATTAATAATGCATTGAAATTTGAATTTTATTTTTGTATTTGCTGCTGGGTTAGTGTTGCACAGAGGAACGCACTGGATTAGGAACAGAGCAGATTTTTTTTCTAGTTCCTACCTATGTCATTGGCTACCATCTTGGAAAACTTTCTGCTTTTGTTCTTCACTGTAAATAATATTTTAATAAAAAAGATCAATCTAAGTGTATTAAAGGATGAACTGAAGAAAAAAAAGACTATAGAAAAGAAAAATACTGTACCCTTTTCTATAAAATTATTCATTTTTTGATCATCATCAGAATTGTTTGGTGAACCAGAACCTATGAGCGAAGACAGAATGAAATGGATATGCAAACATATATCTCTGACAAAATCAATATATTTATACAAATTTTTAGTTTAAGGAAAATACAAAGATATATTAAAATACCAAATAATGATACTGGTATTCACTGTAGCTGTACTAGATACTATGAAGTCCAAATTATTTTGGTATGACAGGAATTCTGCCATATTGAGATTAACCACAAAAATTATAATGCAAGGTACGATGTTGCACAGTGCAGCAAGTATATTGCTAGAAATATTTTGCTCACTGAACAAAAGGTTTGCATTGAGTAACTAGCTTGCTGACCTAATCATGCTCCCAGACACAAAGATTAAAGTAAATTATGATTCACAGAACACTGCCACAACCATAAACAAGTTTTGAAATCCACTCATCCCTTCTCCCCGCACAAACCCCCCA